TCCCAGATTCAATATCGCACTCTACCGGAATCTGTTGGATCACTTAGGCCCAGATGACGTAAGTCGTAGCTTTTAACTTTTGTTCATTTTAATTATTTATACATTACTTTTGCGCTTACCTGATTTAAATTTTATCGCAGTTCGTCTGGAGACCATATTTGGGTTTGGACCATTCTCCAAATCCAGAGGATGCAGCAACTTGGACTGCAAAGACTGCACTCATTCGGTTCAACATTGTGGAGATGCACCACAGCGACCGTGTGAAGATGCAGTTCGGAATGATCCAAGACATACCAAGTGATCCAACAGATTTGTCCCCCTGGCATCTAAAAAGGGTCGACGCCCAGTGGAATCTAACCAACTGGAAAGACTTTGCTCCAGAATGGTGTAAAATGTGGCAAAGGCGTCACCGCTACATCTTGCAATCCCCTATTTTCCTTACTCAAGGTAACATGCGACACACCGATCAATATATGTCGTGGTACAGGTCGGTTAGTAACCCAGATATGCACGTGTCTGATCCGAGGTACTTGGTTGACCCACGCACACAATGGGCACAACCCTCGATTCCCCACCAACAAACCCAAAATCCATCAACCTCAAACCAACCCCCTAGAAGAAACAGACCAACAAACACACAACCACATTCCCCACCACAACACAACTACAACCAAATGCCGTACTACCAACCACAGTCACCGCCAAACTACCAATACCCAGCTATGCCTCAAACCCAACCACAATACCAACCCCAATACCAGCAAACCCACATACCCCATACACAATTTCAGTTTTCCACATATCCCAATATGGGGCCCTCAACATCCAGCCTTAGCCCTGATATGGGAATGTCAGAAGATTATGACGAACCCAACCAAACCTACCATCAACCACCATATCACCAAACAACCCAACATCCACAGTACCAAACACCCCAAGATCCATTTCCTTTATACCCCCCATACTCAGACGACCAATGCTACCGACCAACCATGGAACCCCACCCACCGCCAACACGACCAAACTTCGAGGGTATGGGTAACCGACTGTACCAGAGCGGATCTTCGAGATATGGAGATCTTACTGATTTTATGGATTCGGATCGCATTGACTTCGCTGGGCCATCGACCTTGCCGCAACAGGAAACGAGACGGCACCCAGCAAGAGAAAGGCGAGGACGGGGATGCGGAACTGGGGGTCATTACCGGGTTCCTGGGGATCATTGATGTATCTTTTTTTTTCCAGTATTTTTTGTATCTTTTTTTTTACTGTTATTTAAATGTAAAACAGTTCAATGTAATTATTTTTTATCAAATAAAAAATCAATTTTGTTTATCTCTGTCTAATACGCAACGCGCCGGAAAGAAAAAAAATTTTTTTTTTTGACCTAACTTTGTACATAGGCGCCATCTCACTTGGCTTAGGGCTTGCCATTTGCCCTTAGGCGCCAAATGAGATGGCGCCTCCCTTATAAAAAGAGGAGGATGCGCCAAATGAGATGGCTCCTCCTTTATGGAGCCATCTCAAACATGGTTATTTGCGTAATTTTTTCCGAAACCCGGTTATTCGCGAAATATTTTTTTAATACTTGGTTATTAATAAAAAAAATTCATGATAATTCCCTTTCACCTTTGATGGCCTAACCAAGGGGACTTGATAGTCATCTTATCCAAGTTGGGCAACATCGCTCCAGTAATGTTGTCTATGAGAAACCTAGTCCATACCCCGACCACGGTGAAACTATTATACTTACCGGACATGTTATAACTGCGCCCGAACGCCTTTGTTCTTTATTCGATGCCCTGAGCCAACCCTCTTGAATAGGACTGGATCAAGCACTAAGGGAAACAATGTATTCACTTTGAGAAAGATCCGTTCGTAGGTCGGAGATCCTTTGGTACCCATTGAAGGCGTTTTGTGTTGGATCCACGTCTAGCATTAACTATGAACTTGACGTGTCTTCGACGCTGCTGCGGTAGGTATCACATTGGAGGAGGGATACATCAGTGATGTTAGATCGGAAGATGGAATGTGAATATTTGATGTTATCTATGAGGAAATGACCTTCACTGGCCGGTGCTTCCATCACGAATCTAGATCTAGATCTAGGATCATTTCTTCTTCTTCTTCTTCTTCACGGAGTTCCCAAGGGAAATCAGAGATCTGTAGATCTGGAGATTCGCCACTAAAATAGTAACTGCCTGAATTGAATGCAACAAATCTCTGCATTTGGCTTTGAATGATCTTGATTCGATGATCTAATGAGGTTACAAACTAGTAAATCAGATATTAGATATGAGGTCATTGAAATTCAAATCTAGAACTTCTATGTTTGCACGATGAGGTTAGAAAGCGAACATGAATTTATGGAAATCGTAGAAATCAAAAATCCTTTCCCACAATCGGCGCCACTGTTCCATTCTAGGAACTAGAAATGGATGCGGTTTGATAACTGGTGATCTTGAACAGTGGTGTTAATTTCTATTATAGTGACGCGAGGTAGATCTGTGTAGTTAGGACTCCAAATCCCAAGATGAGTGTAGTAAAAAGTAGAGATAAAAAATATACATTGCTCTTTGCATGTGAATTGATTTTATACTTTGAGTCAAGTGGAATGGATTTGAGATAGATTAGATCTTAGTCATTTGTGTCTTTGGCCAGTCCATAACAAGGCTTAAATCAAATAAAACTTTAACAATCCTAATAGATATTATTTAATTTTAATAAATAAAAATTATCTACAACGCAAACTATATTTTTAAGAATAAAATATTATATTTTGTTATTAAACCAAATATTCTTATACATATGCCTCACCTCAGATGCAATATGCATTGTTATGCATAACAAATAGAAAAAATATTTTTGTTAACATATAAAATCAATTAAAATACAAAATATAGAATTTATGACAAAAAATATCTTTCAACATAAATAGAAAACATTTAATCATATATGTTAACACTACTAAAAATAATACAATTATATGACAAAAAATTTCACCTCAGTCAACAAATAACTAAGGTTTAAACCATAAGCACACCATATTTTAATTATTTTTTTAAAGAAAATGTTACTTATTCCCTCGGTTGAACTAACAGTTGAGGGGGTAAGTATTCAGAGAAGACACCTTCGAATCCCAGCATTGCATTTTAGCAATTTTTAATTTTTTAAATATCTTTTCAATGACATATTACCTCAATTGAGCTGACAACCGATGAGAAAAGTATTCAGTATACATGTCTTCGAATCCCAACAATTACATTTTAGCATATTTTATTTTTAATTTTGTTTAGGACCAATTACCTCAGTTGGGCTTGCAACCGGGGGTAAAAGTATTCATGTGACACACCTTCTAATTCTAACAATAGCATTTTAGCATCTTTTTATTTTTTAATATTTTTTATGACTTATTACATCAGTTGAGCTAACACTGAAGAGAAAGTATTGATCAACCCCCTATCAATTTCCAACAACCAACAACTTCATTTTAGTGCTTTTTTATATTTTATTTATGACATATTACATTGGTTGAGATAGGAAAACTATTATCCAACTAGACAAAAAAACTAGGTAAGAATCTTTGTCGTCCATTTATAAACTAACATTGTCAGCTCATCAATCTGCATAAAACATCAATTATCTGTGTAAATTCCTCAACAACCAATTAGAATGTGAATGACACAACAATTCATCTTGGATGAAAAGTGATAAAATGAAATCATCTTGGATGAAAAGTGATAAAATGAAAATTTAACGAATGAAAATAGTGATAATGCAAGTAGTTGCATGAAGTACAACACCATTTTCTAGTATGGATTGCAATAGTAGGAAAATTTTTCAAGATTGATTCCTTAATGTAATCGTTTCTCTTATAATTATGGTTACAAATATTTAAGTTAGTCAGGATAACATGGATGTAATTTAGCAATGTTAGTTGTTGTCGTTGTGTCATGTCAAATGTTTAATGTTGTTGTTGAGATTTAATGTTTAACTATTCTATTGATTTTGTTTATTTTGTTATTGTTGTAGTTGTTGTTGTTGTTGAGGAGGATGGGGATGATTCAAAATTTGTCAACAAATTTGATGTTTTGCAAATTGAAACGAAAAAAAACAAGTTTAAACAAAAAAATAAGTTAGCAGGGTATTTTACCTCGTGTGTTATTTCCAACCGAAGTAAATAGTATAGCAATTTTGAAAATCCAAAAAAAAATATTATTCATGAGGATCAAACTCATAACTAATTTCACTTTCTTCTCGGTTGACAGTTCAACTGAATAAAAAGTGGTGCACTTTTTATAACAGGTTTCTTTACCTCACCCACAAAATTAAAATAAAACTCTTTTTTTTAAACCAAGATAAAATCACTTATTTATAAGAGTGTCAATAGTCAATTTTTTAATGTAGAAAGCAAATTATGAATCGTTACATAGAATTCAGTTGTATTTTATATGAATAACTATTTTTTTCTCTTTTATATTCAATCTACATATAAATCTTATGGTTTAATCATTAAAATATATCATGGTTTCCTTTTATAAGTTTACTTAATCAAAATGAGAACAATTTCTATACTATTATTGCAAATCACTCACTTGATCATGACTTAATTTTTACTTACTAATTACACCACCTTTACTATTTTAATCTGCATCACCATTAACTATCATTGTATTGCCAATATAATTATTGACTAGCTTAAGCTGCAGAAACTAAAGTAATATTTTTTTTATATAGAACATACCATTCTATTAAATGAAAAACCAAAAAGTATTACAAAAATCAATAGACATATGACATGAAACATATCCCATTCATAGTTTAGCAGCATCTCTAATAGTAAAAGTTACACGGACATAAAAGACATTAAATATAATTTAATCACAAACTAAGAACACCAAAGCTATCCAGAAACAACCACATATTATCCATCCATCCATTCTCTTAAGAACATCAATAATGGCAATATAAGAATAAAAATCTATTACCTTTTTTCAAATTCAATTAAGGATGATTTCTTTGACTTGTGTTTGTGCATTTCGATTAACTTTGATCTCAAGATTGTCCACTTTTATCGAGTGTTTAAAGGTTAATTGATGACTAGAGATAGTGTTGCTCCAAGACACAAAACTCTTCAGATGCTTTTTATCAAACACCTGAAGTGCGGACTTATAACCCAAAAAACAAAAGCAAAAAATTGGCAACAAAAATAGATAGATCTGATAGAATAGTGATCTGCAACCTGTAGAGGATCCATGGGGGCTTTGGAGGAGGTCCAAAAGTTGCAAGCATCAAGGGTGTTGGGACATACGCATTGTTGAATTTGGGATGCTAAGAACAACCCTAACAAGTTTTCCATCTCTTAGTGGTGGTGACTCCGGCGGCGGTTGCTTCGGTAGAGAGAGGCGGCTTGACAGTGGTCCGTGGTGGAAAAAGAGAGTCTCTGATGAGTGACTTAGTGTCGGTTGAAACATGAGAGTGAGGTTGGATGAAAGATATACTACTCTACATAGAGGAGATAACCACCATAAAGGTGTTGGATGAAAACCACCATGAAAGTGTGAGGTGGCCACCATCAAACTTAGAGGTTTGAGGAGAGTTTTTCTAGAGAGAATCTCTTCTCTCTAACATTTCTAACTTGGAGCTAAAGTACTACTAGATGGAGCCGAACATGACCATTTTTCTGAAATCAAAATAGTATTAATTCATTAATTCAGTTCAAAAATAGTTGCTTGCAAGTTGAATGACACCTAAAATATAAGAGAAATAGACAAAATACCTTATGGGTAAAATAAACAATGATGAAACTAAAAATGATTGCATAGACATGAGAATAAATCGTAGGCAATATGCGGAAATTTTGTGTTACTCGTAAAATCAAATAGGATATAACATTGGCAACCCTGCTAGAATTTCATAAATATGACTCCTAAGTATCTTATATCAAGTAATTGTGACCTCAATATATTTTTGTGTGTGAGCAATATGTGAAAGACTACAAACTTCAACATTCAGATTTTTCTACAGGGATACTTATAAATCATTTTAATTATTCCAAACTCCAACTAAAAAAATCAATTAAACAAGAAAAAAGTATACCTCGATGATGGGGAACTTCACAATTTAAACAGAAATGATGTTGTTTGTGTCCAAATTATAAAAAATAATGTAAATATACCTCACTCTAGAATAAACATGTGGACAGTATGATTGGGTGATAGTTGCACTAAAGCATAGTTAAACGGGAGAGGATTCTCTCTAGTGGGTTTTTCACTTGATCAGATCTAGTGTACATCTCCATTATTTATTGGAATGACTTTTTCCTAAGTTAAATAAAATGTAAAATTAATTATCATAGTAATGAACTAATCATCATCAATATTTAAACGCCAATAAAAAAGAAACATTATATGAGTGAGGAAGATGCAAATGGTATTTTTGGTTTTTTTTTCTTTGTTGAAGTACTATAAACTACCATATTGTGTATCCTAATAGTTAATCTGAAATGTCCATATATCTATCATATAAGAAAACTAAGTGCTCTGGAAAAACTCATTTTGCCCTACTGATTCACAAAGCCTCCACGTGGATGCCTTAAAAAACTTCTATTCAATTTGCTTCTATTATACCATCTCTTGCTACATCATATATCTCTCTCTCTCTCTCTCTCTCTCTCTCTCTCTCTCTCTCTCTCTCTCTCTCTCTCTCTCTCTCTCTCTCTCTCTCTCTCTCTCTCTCTCTCTCTCTCTCTCTCTCTCTCTCTCTCTCTCTCTCTCTCTCTCTCTCTCTCTCTCTCTCTCTCTCTCTCTCTCGTCTTCATATTTTCCCAGTCTAACTCTTTCTCTTTCTCCACCGTAACTCAATTCTTTCTCTTTCTCTGCTGTAAATTAATTCTTACTTCCCTTTCTCTTCGATTTTCATGTTCGTAAACAATATCTTCATCTTCATGATGGTTTAGATAAAGGTGAGTGGAATTAGTGTTTGATTTGACGATGAATATGGAAGGATGGTTAGGATTATGAGATGGATTTATGGGTTTGGATATGTTTGTTGTATTATTTGCGATCTTCATGCTCATCACTTTTTGTCTTGAATCTGTTTATTTTATTGTTGATATATCATGTCTAATGATGCCATTTATTTGTGAAAACATGAACTTGAGGATACCCTCATCAATATCCATGAGAAGAAATCTCAAATATAAATGTTATAGCTAAAGTACTAGATTTGGCAGATGATGGATCTAATTTATCGATCAGAGGAAGAAGTGGGGTTTGGGGTTTAGATACATATAGACCAATTCCTTCTGGTCCAATATCTGAGAATGAGGTATATTGTAAATCTGAATCTTATGTCTTTTCCTTTCGTTAGTTGTTTATTTCACCCTACTACATATTTGGAGAATGTTGAAGAAGCTAGCAAAGTTATAGTTGATGTGAGGCAATGGAACATACTAGAGACCCGAAACTCATTACAACTTTGTTAAAAAATTATGAATGTTTTGTTTATTTATTAAATAATTATCTTTTGGAAACAACACTTGATTTACCGTTACATCTTAGTAGATAGTTTAATAGTATTATATTTTTGTGCCGATTTAAGTCATCAACTAAACTAAGTAGCATATTTTTCTGCAATTTAAAATGGTTCAGATTTGGTTGGAAATGAATCAGCTGTACAATTGCATCTAAAGTGGTTCAAGCTTTTGTTAAACACATGATTGCTAACTAAAGTGGTGAAATGAATCAGCTCCACCAATTTCTCTTAACTCATTAATTGTGCAGGTTGTATCATGTGGTGAGGATTTGGTTCTAATTTTTATTATGCTAATTATAATATATATTGTACATATTGGTCAGTTGTGTTGAAAATCCACCAAATTCTATGATGAATTTCTACCATAATGACAATTTAATTATGAGACAAACAAAGAAAAGAAGACAAGACAAATAATTTATGCAGAGTTTCTCTCTGCTCACAAACTGTGAAAACTTTGTTATTCACTTGCAATTGCAAATTCTGTGAATACAACTTGCTTGACTTGCTTACAAAAATAGGGGTTACTTCCTCTATTTATAACTGAGCTTACACCCTAAGCCCAAAGCCCAAAATATCTTTTTGTTACTAAATCAAATCTAATTTATTCTAGACTTAAATCAAATCTATTTAAATCTAAAACAAATCAAATCTTTTCGACACATAGTTTCGACACATTGGATTACAATTTAACACACCACCTAATTCATTGTGTCTAAACTATCTATGTTCATCATGACTCTTAGCTTTCTGAATACTTCGACTTGCACTCCCTTCGTCATGATGTCTGCAATCTGATTCTCAGTTCTGCAGTGTTCCAAATTCATCTTCCCATCTGCTATCTGCTCTCAAAGATAATGGAACCTCATTTCGACGTGCTTACTTCGACCATGTGCTATTGGGTTCTTTGCCAGATTAATAGCTGACATGCTGTCTATCTTCATGGTAATTGCTCCATGATTTTTCCCTGTTATCTCTTCGACCAAGTTCACCATCCAAGTTGCTTGACATGCACAAAGAGAAGCAACTATGTATTCTGCTTCGCATGATGATAATACCACTACTGGTTACTTTCTTGAATTCCAAGCAACTGGTGCACCACCTAGCATAAACACATATCCTGCTGTTGACTTTCGATCTTCAGCATCACTACACCAACTCAAATCAGTGTATCCCACTAACTTGCATTCTTTTCCTTTATCAACTGCAGGAAACAAAATGCCATAATCGAAAGTTCCTTTGAGATACCTTAGTATCCTCTTCATTGCTGCTAGATATGATACCTTTGGCTTCTGCATGAATCTACTTACCATACCTACACTATATGCTAAGTCAGGCCTAGTATGACAAAGGTATCTCAATGATCCAATAAGTCTTCTGTATTGGGTTGGATCAACATCATCTTCATCTGCATCTTTCGACAGTTGCAATCATGGTTCTGCAGGTGTAGAAGTTGAGTTGCATTCTTCCATCTCAAACCTCTTGAGAATTTCTCCTGCATATCTTTTTTGATGCATCATCAAACCTCTACTGCTCTTGTAGAATTCGATACCAAGGAAATATGAAAACTCACCCAAATCAGACATTTCGAATTCCTTGCTGAGATCACCTTTGAAGTCATCGATCTCACTTTTACAGCTACCTGTTATCAACAAATCATCTACATAGAGACATAGTATAAGCAATTTACTCTTGCTTCTTCTTACATATACTCCATGTTCAGTTGTGCACTTCACAAATTTCTTCTCCCTTAGAAAACTATCAATTTTCTTATTCCAAGCCCTTGGAGCTTGTTTCAATCCATACATGGCTTTATGTAGCCTGTACACCTTTCTTTCTTCGTCATGTTTCACAAACCCAACTGGTTGTTTAACATAGACTTCTTTATCTAAGGGTCCATTTAGGAATGCACACTTCACGTCCATCTGACATATGTGACAACTGTTTATTTCTGCTAGACCAACAACCAACCTGATTGTTTCGATCCTAGCAACAGGTGCAAAAACTTCATCGAAGTCTATTCCTTCTTTCTGTAGAAATCATTTCGCCACAAGTCTTTCTTTGTGTCGAGTTACTTCACCTTTCGAATTTGTTTTCACTTTGTATACCCACTTGACATCAATTTCCTTCTTGCCTTGAGGTAATTCGACAAGTGACCAAGTGTTGTTGTCTTCGATAGACTTTACTTCTTCGTTTATTGCTTTCACCCACTTCGAATCCTTTAATGCTTCAGCTGCATTAACGGGTTCGACATATGCATAGAAAGCATAATGTACCAACTCACCTTCATTATCTATTACATCATCTGATGTAATCACACAATCTTGCAATCTTGCAGGCATGCGTCTTGTTCTTTGAGGCCTGCTTGTACTTGGTATATCTGCTGGTTCCTCTTGTGGAACTTCTCTTTCGACTTGAGTTTCTGGTTCTTCAAGAAGGATTCCCACTGAATCTTTCTTGATATTTTCAGTCCACTCCCATTCTTTAAACTTATCTATGATCACGTCCCTGCTGATCACAATCTGCTTTTTCACTAGATCGAACAACTTGTAGCCTCATGTCGAATGATATCCAACTAGAATCATTTGACTTGACTTATCATCAAGTTTTCTTCTCAACTGATCTGGCACATGTCTATGTGTAATCGATCCAAATACCTTCAGATGACTCAAGCTAGGCTTCACATCAGACCAACATTCTTCTGGAGTAATTCCTTCTAGCTTCTTTGTAGGACATCTGTTCAAAATGTATGTTGCAGTCGAAACAGCTTCACCCTAAAACTCTTTAGGTAAATTCTTGCCTTTCAACATACTTCTCACCATA